TCCTCCTCCTCCTCCTCCTCCTCCTCCTCCTCCTCCGACTCATCATCATCATCATCATCATCATCATCATCATCATCATCATCATCGTCATCATCATCATCATCCTCATCGTCATCATCATCGTCATCATCATCATCATCCTCATCATCATGATCATGATCATCATCATAAACAGCATCAACATCATCATCATCATCATCATCATCATCATCATCGTCATCATCATCGTCATCATCCTCATCGTCATCATCATGATCATGATCATCATCATGATCAGCATCATCATCATCATCATCAACAGCATCAACATCATCATCATCATCAACATCATCATCATCATCATCATCATCAATAGCATCATTCGCCATCGTCATCATCATGTCATCATCATCATCCTCATCATCATGATCTGCTCATCATCATGATCAGCTATCATCATCATAATCATCATCATCAGTAAACAGCATCAACATCAATCATCATCAACTCATCATCATCATCATCATCTTTCATCATCATCATCATCATCATTTCATCGCACCTCGTCATCAGCATCATCGTCCTCCTACCTCCTCCTCCTCCTCCTCCTCCTCTTCCTCCTCCTCCTCCTCCTCCTCCTCCTCCTCCTCCGACTCATCATCATCATCATCATCATCATCATCATCATCATCATCATCATCGTCATCATCATCATCATCCTCATCGTCATCATCATCGTCATCATCATCATCATCCTCATCATCATGATCATGATCATCATCATAAACAGCATCAACATCATCATCATCATCATCATCATCATCATCATCGTCATCATCATCGTCATCATCCTCATCGTCATCATCATGATCATGATCATCATCATGATCAGCATCATCATCATCATCATCAACAGCATCAACATCATCATCATCATCAACATCATCATCATCATCATCATCATCAATATCATCATCGCCATCGTCATCATCATCGTCATCATCATCATCCTCATCATCATGATCATGATCATCATCATGATCAGCATCATCATCATCATCATCATCATCATCAACAGCATCAACATCATCATCATCAACATCATCATCATCATCATCATCATCATCATCATCATCATCGCCATCGTCATCAGCATCATCGTCATCCTCCTCCTCCTCCTCCTCCTCGCCGGCCGCATCCCAGCGTTTCGAAGCGGGGCGTCCCGCCCGCTACCCGGTCTGCTCGACGCGGCTCGACGGGCCGCCTCCCTCTCCGTCTCCCCCTCCTCCTGCCTCCTCTCGCTACCCCTCCCGTCGTCGCGTCCTCCTCCTCCTCCTCCTCCTCCTCCCCCTCCTCCTCCTCCTCCTCCTCCTCCTCCTCTTCCCTCCTCCTCCTCCTCCTCCTCCTCCTCCCTCCTGCTCCTCCTCCCCCTCCTCCTCCTCCTCCTCCTCCTCCTCCTCCACCTCATCCTTAAAGATGGGTTTAGGTACCCTTTAAGCCTCTAGCGCGCTTGGTAAACCTCCTCCTCCTCCTCCTCCTCCTCCTCCTCCTCCTCTCGCTCCTTCCCCCCCGCCAGCAGCGCGATCCTTCCGCGCCAGCGGGTCGCCGTAGCTGCGGCCGAGGGGGTCCCCGCCGAAGCCGCCGTAGCCGCCGAGGCCGCCTGTCGATCACCCCCCCACGCGCGCCAGGCGGCCTCACGGCCCCGCTGGCCGGTCTGCGACGGGTCCGTGTCGTGTCGACCCTGGCGTTGGTTCCCGACACCGCGGGGATCGTGCAACCTTGAACGATCGGCCGTTTCCGGCCAAATCGTTCCCCATCGAGCGATTCGGGGTCGCCCGCGGCGATCAGCGTTGAACGCCGCTGGCGGGGTCGCGGCCGGTCGACACGACGCGAACCTACCGTACCCCCCTAGCTGGGGATGCAGGCTGCTCCCTTCTGGTTTCGAGGCGCATACCCTCAACCAGGTTGCTGGGAGGGTGGGAGGGACTGAGATGCCACGTCCCCATGGGGATGGGGATAGGTTACACGATGCCGCGTCCTCTGCGCACGCGGCGCCAGCGGTCGCTCAGCGCGCGGTGGCAAGGTGAGCAGCGGTAAAATTTAGGAAGCAACGCGTGGGAGGCCTCGGTGAGAACGACTTAAATCTAAAAGCCTGTGTCACCGGCCAGGGAGCGGGATGAAGCTTGGGATTCAGCCTGATGGGTTCGGATTGCGCCGGACTCGGACTACAGATACATCGGCGCCGTTGCTGAATATCCAACCTCCCAGGAGTTGCATCCTAATGTATTGGCGCCAAGGGGGCAGGCAGAGAGGAGGACTGAGATCGGGCGAAGCGCTCAAGACATGCCCCGGAACCGGACCCGCCGCCACTCCGCGAGCCTTGAGATCCATGCTTGCGCATCCAACAAGCGCCGTCCGCCGCACACGCCCACTTCCGCCCGCTAAGCTTTGCCCTCGACCCTCGAGGGTCGAGGGGAGAGGTTGTCGCGGGAGGCTCTCAGAGGTTGGCTCCATTGCCAAGATCGGCGGTGGCCTCCACCGAGGGAAGATGATCCCGATCCCAGCGATGGTGGCAGTCGTCGGGCTTCGTGGGTTGCCGAAGGATTGCCATCAGCACCAAGAGATGCGACCATCTGGACACTTGTATACATTCTATGATATACGCACGAATGCCCGCAGTGAGATTGTATCTCGGGTGATTGTCGTTACCGTACCCGGAGGGGAACGGGATGGGGCCCGGGGGGCAACAGGAACGCTTGGGCGGGGTTGGGCACGTCGTGGCGCGGGTGCGCTGCGATTGCCGCACTACCTGCGCGAACACTAGCAGCACGGGGGGGTGTCCCGGCGCCCCCCCCTACGCGCAATCGCCACCGTTGCCCAGGACGGGGGGGGGAAGGATTTGGCCCAGGCAACGGCCGTTTCGCGCCAGAGGGTGCGGACAGCAATCTGCCCGCATTTCCGCACCGAGCAGAGAGGAGGAGGAGGAGGAGGAGGAGGAGGAGGAGGAGGAGGAGGAGGAGGAGGAGGAGGAGGAGGAGGAGGAGGAACTGTCCAGGAGCCAAGGAGGCAGAACAGTAATATGAGACCAGCACGCTCCGACGTCTTTTGTTGGCCCTCGTCGGGCCTCCGCCCGCCTCCAGGGGCCCTGGGGGACCTCCAAGGACCCTCCGGGCTCCTCGACCCTCGATGCTCGGCGCCGGCGCTTGCGCAGGCGCCGCCGACGACGACGACGACGGCAAAGACTTGTTGGGTGGATGCGGGGTAGGCTTCGTGCCTGTGATGGGCGGGACGGGGACCGCTGGGTTTGTATCAGAAGGGCTCTCGCGGGCCGCGGCGGAGGTGAGAGAACAGTGGATTGGACCCCCTCCCACGTGGACACCGACGATGCCAGTCTCACACCCCAGGAACGGTTCTTGGCTGCTGGGAACGAATGCGGGATGACGATGAATAAAGAATGGGGGAAACGATTACAAACACAGTTTCTTGGATTTTTAAATGATTGCTCAACGGGAAGAAGACGATTAACAACTATGTCGATTACACGTCAAGTTCGAATATTGCGTCGAATACTCATTTCACGTCGTCAAACTTTACGATACAGAATCATTCGACGTCGACTTCAGAATTTACGTCAAGTGCCAATTATACGTCGGCTTCACACTTTTACGTCAAATACTCGTTCCACGTCGGCTGCAGACAGTTTGTCTAATGCTTATTTGACGTCGGCTTCAAATGTTACGCCAAATGGTACGTCACTGTCTGGGCGCGCGCCCGAGGACGGCAGGGGGGGAACGATTAAACAAATAGTTTCCCAGCCCGCGGCCAGACGCAACACGACCCCCGGTCATTTGTTGATCGTCGTCCTACCTTTGGCAACCGACTCGGTCGCGGGGGAAGCAGCCGAACGCAGCTGGGAGCTTGGCCTTACCTCAGTTGCGCTCAGGAGGAGGGCCCGCAGCGCGTTGGCGGATTCGGCGGTGGTCGGTCCTATCGAGCCCAAGGAACCTCCGGAAGCCCTCGAGAGAGCTCGGAGGGGGACCACGGGGGATCGTGCCGCCCGCTCGAGCCCTCACCGTGTCAGAAAGTGCTGCAAGCGTTTCAGGTATCACAGGTGCGGGACGTGTCTTGCTTATGGTGGCTGCCTGGACTTCAGTGCCTCGGATGGCGCTCCTGCTGGGGCCCAGGCGTGGCCTCCAGATGCTGTCGTTTCGGTCCCTGGGCCGGTGGGTGTCTGCGGAGTGACCCTCAGCGAGTCCCTCCGCCTCGGCTTCTGGAACCGGTTCGGCACGTGTGTCTGCCACCGCTGCGGGCGGAAAGCCTCCGTGGACGGGCGTCAGCTTGCTGATGAGTGTCCTAAGCCCTGCAAGATGGGTCGCGGGAGCCGCGCCCGCATCTCGCAGGGGTAAGGTCCCAGCTGCGCCGGGCCTCCCCAAATGCGCCCAGCTGCTCGGCTTGAGCGAGAGGCCGCGGTGGCCACAGCCCAGGCGTCGGCCAGCCTTGTGGCTGGCTGGCGCCCCAACCTCCTCCCTCATGTTCTCCTGCCCCGAACCCTGTGCTGCACAGGTGCTGGAACATGCTCCCCCTCCCTGCCATTCCCCGCCGCACCACGCCCTCATCCCCCCTTCGGCGGCAAATCACGCGAGCCTCCCATGCCATCTTGCTGGCCCCTGCGAGTCGACTCTGGCGGAAGCTAACTGATGCTAGCCGACGCTACCCCTGCGAGTCGACTCTGGCGGAAGCTAACTGACGCTAGCCGACGCTAACTCGACGCACGTCGACACCTTCATCGGCACCCGAAACACGGAATTGCAAAGGGCACGCGGGGCCGCCGAAGGGGGAAACGCCTCGTCACCCCCGCCCGCAGGGGCTCGAAGGCAGGCAGGGCGCACAGAGTGCCCTGCAAGGGCAGCCCCCCGCGAGGTACACGGCCTTCCCTGCGCCCCACCCTTCCGGCGGGTGGCTTGAGGCAGGCTCCGCCCAATGAGCGCCTACGATGTCGAGCAGTGTCCCGGTTGTCGCATGGACTCTAGGCGCCCGTCGGCAAAAACGAACAACACATCTAGATATCGAGCGCAAGAAAATACCCGTACCCGGGGGGGGTGACGCGCCGCAGCCGACGGCGGTTGCACGAGTGCAGATGCGACTGCCCATGGAGCATTACATGACGCTGCCCATGAACATTACATCCCCGTGGAGCCTCTCCGGGCATCCGCTGGCACTGGAGGCGCGTGCGTTCCAATCGGCAGAGTGGCCGACCGCGCATTGGTCGCTCTCGAGCTAGACTAGCTTGTTCGGAGGTGCGCCCACGAAGGCGCACAAGCAAACGTTTGGGGCTCGACGCGCAAAAATGCGTCCCGGGTGTCCTTGGCGGGCGCCGCTGCAATCCCATGCTCGCCCCAGACGCCTGGGGCCCCGAATGCTAGGCGCGGCCGCCAGGGGTTGGTCATTGGAAAACACGCCTGACGTCATCCCAGCTAGGTCTGGGGGTACCGTCGCCGACGCGCGTTGATGGTACCCCCGGAGACGTACCCGTACCTAGTCGAGATGGCGTTTGGCCGACATCGCTCTCGGGCGCACGCGCGGCCCCCGACAGCTCTCCCGAACGCGGCCGCAGCGGCCCCCCAGGGAACGTGAGATTGCAACGACGCTCCTGCGGGCAGGCCTAAACGTAACGAAACTGTGGTGCCTGTCCCTAAATGGGACACGCACCACCACTCCAATGCTGTTCTAAACCCCGCGGACACCCCCGATGCCCCCAGACGTCCCTGACGCAAACCAGGGCATGTCGCTGCAATCAAAAAACAAGCCATTCAGCGTGTCGTTGCGTCCTGACGCGCGGATGCTGAACCAGCTCGCACGCGGCAGGCTGATCGGGTGCAGTAGCAAGCGCCCAATCCAGCGGACGGCCCTTTTCACCCAGGCCGACCCCAGGTAAGGGTATGCTTAGGACCAATGACCAAAGGCACCCTGCCCAGGACACGCAAAAACATCCAACAGACACAAAGAACACTAGGGCACCCTCCCCGAACCGATCTCGATCTTATACATCGGTCCGACTGCATTAAACACTAACCATTAACAGCCAGGAAAAGCAACAACTCGAGCCTAAAATGACTCCCACGCATAATAACCTACGAAGGCGGTGGCGACGAGCTTCATTGGTCCGCCCCCCCCTCCCAAGTAGACAAGCGCGCTCCACTACTCGCGAAGTAGCTATTCGCAAATGGTGCATATACGATGCATACATACATCGATGCAAACATATGTTTTTCTGACGCTTGCAACTAAGCGCTTTGCGAGTAGTGGAATGCGCTCGGTGACCCAAGACGAAGCCAGGACAAGGACACAATCGGCCAAAAATAGACCAAGGATCTCGGAGATCCGCCAATACTGGACCATTTGCCGGGCGCCGCGGCCTTCTCAGAGCGTTCCGGAACGCTCTGGGAGTGTTCTGGAAGGCTCTGGACCGATTTATCCATGTGCTACGTCCGACCTACCTGACACGACGCCAAAACGAAGATACAATTGAAGAAACATCGAGAATCTGTGAGTACGGCGGCTCTGGAAAATGAAACATGTATCGGGCGGCGCGGCCTCCCCAGAGCGTTCCGCAACGCTCGCAGAGCGTTCCGGAACACTCTGGAACGGAGATCCTCGTCCTAGCTCCGTCTTACCCCCCCCCTCTTTTTGGAGGCTTCTCCTGAGAGGTCTTCGGAAGAGCGGGTAAGGGCTCGACTGGCGATCAGCCCAGAAAGCCTGAGATTCAGCCAAATCGACCAGGATCAAGCGGAATCTGATTAGAATTCCATGGCACTGTGCCGAATCAGCCAGGTTCCACCGACCACGGATTTACCAGCGCCGATGCTGAACTGAAGCTCCCAGACTTCGTATCCTATCCTCCCAGACCCTCGAGGAGGGTCTCACCCACATCAACCTCTGAAAAGGTTTCCGCCTGTCCGCTCTGGCTCCGAATGCCTCACCAGCCGCCAGCCGGCGGACTCGAGCTCGCCCCCCTCCCGCTCTAATCCACTCTCTTGGCAGAGGAGAAAGGGAGGGGGAGGAGGAAGAAGAGGAGGAGGAGGAGGAGGAGGAGGAGGAGGAGGCAGGAGGAGGAGGCAGGAGAAGGAAGAAGCATGAGGAGGAGGAGGAGGACGAGGAGGAGGAGGAGAAGAGGGGGGGGGGACAGAGGATGGGAGAGGAGGGAGGCTGAGGACGAGGAGGATGCGGAAAGGGAAGATGAGGGGGTAGGACGAGCAAGTGAAGCAGGAAGGACGAAGGAGGGGGAATGAGGGTGGAGCGAGGGGGGAGGAGGGGCGAGATCGTGTCACTGGTAGACTGGAGATTGTGAAGGGACCCCCGACCACCGTAGCCGCCGTAGCCGCCGTAGGAGCCGAAACTGCCCTGGCCCAGCGCGTCCTTGATGCCGGGATATCCTGCGTACCAGTCCTGGGAAAAAAACACATTCCCCAAAGAAGCACAACTGCATCGACATCAAATCGGAATCCCGCGCGGATGTCTTGGATCGGCGTTGACCGCAAATGCCGGTATGTCATGTGCACCAGTCCTGGGACGACAAGCCCATCTTCCAGAAATCAAAAAGGCATAGGCATGACATCGGAGGTCCGCACAAATCTCTTGGATCGGCATTGGCCCCAAACATACTAGGACATCCTGCGCACCAGCCTGGGGAAGACAGAATGGCACAAAGTTCTTAGACGTGTAGCTCTCGGCAGGGTGTCAAGCTTCAAGAGATCGAGCTCGAAACTATAACATTGAGCATGAGCTTCGGAGAGCCGGTGCTTCGCTGCTTGAACTTGAACTTATGATTGGTATTCCGCGTGCGAGCCGAATCTTGTTTGAGCAGGCCCAAGGAGGTGCGAAGCGCGCAGCGTCAATCACTACTGCGACAGCAAAACAATGTTGTAGTGACTTGCTGTTTGTGTTGCATTGCTCATGTGTGTTCGCTGTGTTCTTGCAGTGTAGTCCCACCAGCCCTTTGGGCGTGAGTGGTTTAGCGAGCTCTCTCTGTTCTCAACCCCCCTTCTTCCCCTTCGGGGAGGGGTTTACCCCTCCCCCTACCCCCTCCCCCTGGGCCTGGAGAGGTCCTTTCGCGGGTCGTCAGGGGGGTCATTTTCGACTCCTGGGAGGGCTAAAAAACGACACCCCTCACGAGGATTCTGGCCCCGACGGGGGGAGGGGCAGAAAAAACCCTCCCCTCCTCTTTGAAGCCAAAATCCTTGATTTTACTACGGTTTTGGCCCCATTTTGGCCTTCTGAGGGGGCAGCGCTAATTAAAGCTCCCCTCTTCTTTGAAGCCAAAATCATTGATTTTACTAAGGTTTTGGCTCCATTTTGGCCTTCTGAGGGGGCAGCGCTAATTAAAGCCCCCCTCTTCTTTGATCGATTTCCTCCAAGATGGCCCCAAGAAGCGCCCAGGAGGCACCAAGAAGCCCCAAGATGGCCCCAAGAGGCCCCAAAGAGGATCCCAAACGGCCCAAAGAGGCCCCCCCGAGGCACCCAAGACGCCGAAAAGCCCATCAGGACGACCCTCTACTCGCCTGGGCGTCGTTTCTGGACGGGCAGGAGGGGCCCGAACGACTCACACCAGGACGAGGGGCCCGAACAACTCACACCACGAGAAGCCCGAACGACTCACACCAGGACGAAGAGCCCCGAACGACTCACACCAGGAAGAGCCCGAACACACCAGGAAGAAGGGCCCGAACGACTCACACCAGGACGAGAAGCCCGAACGACTCAAACCACGAGGAGCGCTTTCTCTCCCTCCTCCTCCGCCTCGTCCTTCTCCCGCTCCCACCACAAGGAGGATGTACAAGGAGGCGGGAGGAAGGAGGAACAGGGGAGATATGCGGGGGCAGGCGGAAACACGCCTGAAAAACACGACTGTCGGCATGCTTCGCTAGAGATGCTGGTTTGAGATGGGCTGGTGGGGATACGCGAAGCGTGAAGAATTTGGGTCTGCTTCGGAGTGCCGCTGTACCTCTGCTCGAGCTTGAGCTTACGACTCCGCGTGCGAGCCGAATGCGGCTTGAGAAGGTCCATGGAGGTACGACGCGCGCAGCGCAAACCACGACGGCAGCAACATTGTGTTTGTGTTGTTTGAAGTTTGTTTGGTTTGCATTAAAGTTTTGTTTTGCAATGAGTTGATCTGGCTGGTCTAGTTGTTCTGGCTGGTCTGTCTACTCTGGTTAGTTTTCGTGCTGGTGGCGGGCTGGTCTGGTTTGCCGAGTTGGTCTATCTCGCTGGTTTGCCTTGCTTACATTGCTGGCCTGCTTGGTTCGAGTTTGTTACGTTCTCGTTTGTGTTGTTTCGCCGTGGTTGGACTATGTTGCTGGTTTGATGTGCTGATCTTCGCTCGCCTGGAAATGCAAGTCGCGGGAACATTCATCTGGTTGGTCTGGTTGGTCTGGTTGGATTGGTCGGGTTGGTTTGGTTGGTCCAGTCGGTCTGGGCAACGCGTCCGACTAGTTCGGTTGTTCTGGCTCGGTTTGCGTTGTTGGTCTAGGTCGTCTGGCTGGTCTAATCGGCATGGTTGGAGTGGGATGGCTGTTCCAATATCTGGTTGGTCTGGTTGGTTGTTCTACTGGGTCTGGCGCAAGTGCTCCACTGGGTCTTGTTAGTCTGACAGGTCCGGTTGGTCTGGTTGGTCAGTCGGCAAATTCTTTTGGATCCAATCTCGCTTTGTGGGTCTCATATGTGTGGCCGCGCAGATTGTTCCTCTGGTCTGGCTGGTGCGGTTGGTTTGGTTTGACCCGTTCGCTTGGCTGACCCCGGCCTGGTCCGCTCTGGTTGGTCGAGTAGTTCATCTGGTTCGCCTGGTCTGGTCTGCTTGTTTTGGTCTGATTGGTTCGTTGGTCTTTGTTGGTTGGTCGAATGGCTACTGTGCCTAGTCTGGCTAGCCTGGTAATCTCGCTGCACCAACTATCTTGGCTGGCTTTGCCTGGTCTGCCTGCTGCGCGGGACTTCTGCGAAGACAAGCCATAGCAGCAGGAGCTGCAGCAACGGCGAGCGCATGACCGGCATCAACGCCCAGAGGAGGAGAACTCCGAGGTGGATCAAGGGGTGGAGGCGAGGACAATCCTCGTCAGTAGCCATATCAGTGGTCAGACCTTATGCCCCAAAGCACAGGAAGGCGCTGGGGAATAAAACCTGTTCGCCTCGGGCGAGAATCGGCGGATCATGCGGATCTCTTGGACCGGTATTGACTACCAAATGCCAGAATATCCTACGCACAAGCCCTGGGGGGCAAACCCATCCTTCAGAAAACAAACAAGCAGAGGCATGACATCTTCTGAAACAGCTCATGAGAGCCTCTCATACCATCTTGATCGCTTTTGCGAATCGTCGCCAGGTCGGCGCTAATCGACGCTGATCGATGCTAAATCGGCGCTATCTCATCGATTACTCGACAGTAATCGGCGCGAATGTATTCTAAAGACAAACTTGCAAATACCGCCACCGTGCCCCTGGCCCAAAGTGGAGTGCGCCAAGGCTGATGCAGTTTTGAGGAGGGCTGTGGTGCGGCGGCTGCCGCCAGAACTGCCCGTCTTTAACGGCCCGGACCAATCGCTTCCTGGGCCAGCCAGGTATCTGCTGGAGACGGCCGGAATCGCTCGCATCGGCCGACCCCGCCCAGGAGGGCCCCGAAACGAGCCCAGATGGCTCCAAAAGGCCCCCAAAATGGTCAAAGCGGGCCCCAAGTCGCCCGACAATCGCCCGACGGCGCGGAAGGTGACACGAAGACAGGCCAAAAAGCCTCCAAGACGGCCACAAAAGTCTCGAAGAGGCCCCCAAGGTTTTGACGTTCCTCCGGTTCTTCAAAGATGTTGGCGTATTCGCCTTTCTGGCTTCCCGATGCTCCAAGACGCCCCCAGTCGGCTCTAAGACCGCCCCAAGACGGCACAAGAGGCGCCCAACACGGCCCTCGAAGGCCTCAAGGCGGCCCCAAAGTGGGCCAATGGGAAGGAACACGCACCGAAAGTCCGAACTGTACGCCCTGGGAGCCCACAGGAGGCCCCAAGAGGCACCCAAGAGGCCTCAACAGGCCCCGAATAGGCGCCAAGAGGCCCACAATAGGCCCAAAGGGACCCCCAGAGGCCTTAACACGGCCCTCAGGCCTGAGCATTTTCTCCGAGAGGCCCCCGAGGTGCCTCCCACGAGATCCCAACGAACATCCAAGAGGCTTCAAACCCGAAACCCAGGCACGGTGGCTGTATTGGCCAAAGGCCATTCGATACAACGCTCATCTGATCTGCGACCGAAGAAACCACTCCCAACCGCACCCCGCCAGCCCTCTGGGTGTCAGTGGTTTAGCGGACGTTGTCCTCTCTCTGCCGACACCCCTCATTGCCATGATCGGGGGAGGGTCGCACCCCAGTTAGAGCGTCGAAGATGGCTCCAAGAGGGCCTCAGAGAGCTCAAGATGGCCTCCAAAATGGCGCACAATCTTTCAAAATGGATCGATATAGCCTCCGACAAACACCCTAGAGGCTTCGGGACGCCCCGCGACAGTCCCAAGTGACCTCCCGGCCCTCCAAGGAGCCCCCCCCAAGATGCCCAAATCCGATAACAACCGATGGACAATCAGTGCCTGTTGCCTTCTCGCCGCATCGCTCTCAATGGACTCTGGAGGGCTGGGGGTGGCCCCAAGACGACCCAAAAGAGCCCAAGAGGGGCCCAAGAGGGCCCCAAAGGGCCCCTTTGGGACTCCAAGGCGGGGGGGGAGGGAGGGGGGCCTGCATGAATTGCCCCCTTCATTTGGAGCCGCGGGGCCCAGGGCGGCCCCAAGAGGGCCCCAGACCCCCCCCCAAAAAAACCCCTGCGGGCCCCTGGACTCTCCCAAGAGAGCCGCATGAAGGCCCCAGGCGTGCCCCAAGTGGCTCCGGGATGACCCCGAGAGCGACTCAAGACGGCTCCAAGATTCCCTGATCAAGGCAATGCGCCTGGCGATCAATCGGATCCGAGGTCCACGCGGGTTTCTTAGATCGGTGTTGACCCAGGAACTCCTCACCTCACCGCTTCCCGGGCGCGCGGTGCGCGTCGGGGACGGCGCCAGAGTTGTGGTGCATCTTCGGGGGGCCTCGTCTGTGCCGACGTGCCCGACGTCCGTGCCGCCTCCTCGCCGAACCCATGTCGAGCTTGTTGAATCCGTGTCGAATCCGCGTCGAATGCAGGCCGAATCCGCGCCGAGTCCGCACCGGAGTGCAAGAGAAGACTGGCATTTCACAAGTCAGGCGAGGCCCCCCGAAGGCGCAGAGTAGCCAGAGGCGCTGTGCTGCCCTGTCTGCCTCCATGCTCCTGCATTGTGGCACGCATCGCTTCAACGGCATCCCCGCTTTGATTACTCTTCCGCCAGCGCAGTTACTCTGCCTAGCCGCCGACGTAAAATTATGTGTGGGTGGATGTTCAAACATGTTCCGCCCTAGAAGCGGCCCACGTAATCTCAAGCCGTCGAGCCCTCTGATTGCCCTCGTAGTCGGGGATGCCTGCATCGTTTGGTTGATTCGCCGACTTAATGCCAGGCTAGTAGCTCGGCTGGAACGCTGGCTGTTTTGATGGACGCTTGTCAGGTTCGCCAGTTGGCTAGCTGATAGGCTGGTTCGCGAGCTTGATGGCTGGTTAAAGGCTGGTTGGGTGGCTGACGACTTCGAATAGCGGGCCCGTTCTTTTCGCGCAAAGGGATAGTGGCCTCGGCAGCGCGGGTGCCTAGGTTTCCATTTGGATCGTGACCTCCGGAGCAGCTCTTGCTCACACGGGACATTGGCCACGGAAGCGCGGATTCAAAGTTCTTTGCAAAAAGATGGTGGCCCCCGGACCGTGGCTCCACTGTTTTTGAAAACTGTAGATCGTGTTGCACGAGGGTCGCGGATACACACATGTATATATGTATATATATATATATATATATATATGTACGTATCCATTTTGGCTCAAGCCCCGCTTGGACCCCGCTCGGGGTCCAAACGGGGTGAGAGCCCTGTAGCCTGATAGACTCAGTGGGGCCGGCCCCTAGCGCCCCGCGCACAGGACGCATTCCGGCCCGGCGTGCTCTCTCAGTCTCGGCCGCCATCCTGGTCCGCGGACTGGCTTGCGCGCGTGCTGCTCCTGGCGAGGCTGGCGCGAGGGCGCCGGCATCGCATGCCTGGCAGCCTTTCCGGCGTGTGCTGCCATGGCCTCCGGCGGCCGTGCGCCTGCTGCTGGTGATGAAGCTGCGATGGAGCCGCAGCACATGGCCGTCGGCAGCGCGAACTCGGCGGGCATCGCTGCTGCCCCGCCGGACCGGCCTGCGCCGCTACCGGACGCAGAGTCGCCGCACGAGGCATCGCCATCGTCCGCTGCGGATGGCCGCCATGCGCTGCAACGAGTGGTGGCTACGCTCACGGACCCTGCCACCGGAGTCCGTCTCGACATCTACGACGACAGCACCGCCACGAACATCGCGCGCGTGCTCATCTATGCCGCCAAGGCTCATGTCCGGGCAGCTGCTGCAGCTGCCCCTGGTGAACATGAGTCGCTCCTGAAGGCCTTCGCGCTCACGCTCTCCAAGGCTGGGGCCGACAACGGGGATGAGGCTACCAAGTGCCTTCCCAACGCCGAGGTCAGCCAGAGCCTCATCAGCGCCGAGTCCGACATCGATGCCGTCGAGCGAGGTGCGACCGCCATCCTCCTCAGCGCCGCGGCCCACAGGCGCGCTGAAGACAACGCGTCTCTCCACACCAAGGCCGACGAGGCCGGGCCCGGTGTCGCTTCTGGCACCCCCTTCGGACCGCTTCCGGGGAGCTCGGGGATCGAAGCCCCCTCCTCGCAGTATGAGGCCGTTCGGAGCCCAGGAGTTGGGGCCGGTACTATCGCTCACGAGGCAGGTGCCGATAGTCTGATCTTCACGCCCCAGCGTGCAGACGGCAGACCAGAGCATGGAGCAACCTCTGTCACGCCTGGCCTCTCCAGCCAGGTGCCGACACGATCAGATGCGGCTAACATCTTCGACGAAGTTCACCTTGCCACGCCGCTCGCAGCTAAACGGGACCCCCATGATCCCGGAAGCTCTGGTGACGCCTCCGCCGAGGCCCTTGCCGATGAGAAGACGAACGAGTCCGACAAGATGAGCCTCCCAAAGGTGCCAGAGTTCCCTTCCGCAGCGCTGAAGTCAGAACTCGTGGGCGCCGAGGGTAATCTGGACAGCAACGCTGATCCCAGGGACATCGTTGATGACCATCCTGTGTTCCAATCCGTGAGTGGAATGCAGGCAGATCTGATCGGACAGACAAGCACCAGCATGCCATTATTTGTAGGTGCGCATGGAGTGCCATTGAAGCTAATAGTAAAGGCTATGCACTCCGTCAAATACATTAAGACCCTCGCAATGAAGGTTGCGAGAATGCATGATCATGACACCGCTAAGTGTCAGGTGTCATTTGCTTTTTTGGACGATGCGCACGAGCTTCAGGCGGTAAGCACCGGAGATGATCTTCTGCTCACGTCTGTCCTGAAATCGTTGCCTAGTGACTCCCTTGTGGTCGCGAGGATTGAGCCTATGTGAGAGGCCCTGCCCAGTGATAGAGCTTCGTGGCGGTGTAGCTGCATGTCTTTGCCTGCTCTGCCCCGCCGACGCTTGACAGCGTTCGTGTCTGGATAGCGTCCTTGTGTTCGTCAGCCGCCTGCCTGGTGAACACTCCAGTGCAACTGAGCCCAGTGTCTTAGTGTCTTAGTGCACGCTCAAAGCCTAGAGATCCGATGCTTGAGACTACCATTCCTTGCCGAATAACATGTATATATATATATATACATACTACCAGGGATCATCGCCTCGGGAGCGCGTTTTGATGTATTAGAGATCGTGGCGCTGGGAACGCGCATCCTCAACTTTGGTACGAAGTGGTCGTTACCCTTGGAGAGTTGGTACATGTGTTTTTAAACAGGAGCCCCTAGCCTCGGGAGCGCGAAACAAGAGCTTTTACGGGGCCAGAAGCACCCAGGAGCTGTGGACACTTGGCTTCGGGCTTAGGGGGGTTCGTGACCTTCGAACCTCCGAAACCCACCCACAGGAAAAGTGGGAACCTATGTCTGCACTGAGGGCTGGTGACTAGAACATCTCCGCTGGGGTTGCTCAGCTCCTGCCAATACATTGCAAGGACAACTGCCTCGTGGCACTGGTGGGAACTACGCTTCGCAGCTGCTGACGCCTCGTCGCCTCGTGCGCGCAGCCTTTGGGCCCCCGCAACAAAGGCCGGCAAGTGTGGCCATCCTATCCTAGCCTCGTCCTCCTCATGATGGCCTTCGGACGCCCGATGGGGGCCCGTCGTCACGATCGGGAGAAGCCAGGACAAATCTGCGAGGAAGGACGCCCGAAATTGTCTAGGAAGGCGAAGAGGGCATTGGAAGAGGAGCCACTGAATGCCCAGGGTCTGGAAGCCTGTGGAACGCCAATCCTGGACTGGCCCATGATATCACCGCTACCCTCAGGGTCTGATGCATCCTGGGTACACTCCGGAAGCCACTGCCCCCATCGCAGTTTGAAGGGCGGCGTGTTTCTACCGAAGAGCACAGCAACATGCATCAAGAACGTCGAGGCCGAGGATCGGCGTACATATATATAATCCTGGTCCGAGGATCGGCGTACATATATATATATATATATATATATATAATATATGTATACATATATATATATATATATATATATACCTCTACGCCCACCCTTCGGGTGATAAGGAAGTTGGGGGGGGAGGATGAACCAACACCTCACTCAATCGATCTCACGACCGACATTTCTACCGATCTCACTGACGATCTCACGATCTCGCGGGACACCGCTCAAGCCACCGCCGGACGGACGGACGAGAATCATTTGTCCTGACTTCGCCCTAGCAACGGCGGACACCACGGGACACCACGGGACACCGCGGGGCACCGCGGGGCCACCGCCGGACGGACGGACGAGAATCATTTGTCTTGACTTCGCCCTAGCAACGGCGGACACCACGGGATACCACGGGATACCACGGGACACCGCGGGACACCGCGGGACACCGCTCAAGCCAGCGCCGGCGGGACGGAGGAGAAACATATTTGTCTTGACTTCGCCCTAGCAACGGCGGACACCATGGGACACCGCGGGACACCGCTCAAGCCACCGCCGGACGAACGGAGAAGGAACATTTGTCTTGACTTCGCCCTAGCAACGGCGGACACCATGGGACCATGGGACACCACGGGACACCGCTGGACACCGCTCAAGCCAACGCTGGCCGGACGGAGGAGAAACATTTGTCTTGACTTCGCCCTAGCAACGGCGGGTTCATTCCTCTCGCGCGCCCACGCAGCTTCGCCTTGCCCGCACGCACGACACGATCGAAACGAAACGATTTCCCGGTTGGGGGTCTCCGTTACACTACGATCTCACCCCCCTAACCTCCGTGTACATATATATTTATATATATATATATGTGTGTGTGGATTCCTGGCATGGCCAACTGGCATATACGCATGTGTATATGTGTGTGCGTGTATACGCATGTGCATATGCTGCGCCGATCGTGGGCTCACGAACGGCCTGCATAGCCCAGATCGGTGTTTGCGTGCAGGCGGCGCCTGCCCAAGTCCTCCTCCCAAGCGCTGGCGAAGCCAGACGCGACAACGCCCGCGTAGTCTACGAGGAACGAGCAGGCGAAGTACGCAGCGAGGGGTGCCATGCGCAGCGGGCGTGGGGAGAGAGAGGGGAGGAGCGGCGGAGAAGGAACGGAGCGGGAGGAGGAGCATAATGAAAAGACCGAGGAGCGGGATGAGGAGGGATACTCATCGTTTGGACACATGTGGGCAGACACATGAAGCATGAACGCGTTGAAGGTAGACTGGTTGTCCGCCCGCCCTGGGGAAAAGAAGGAAGAGTGGGATCATTCGATTCTTGAAGCATGCAGGCGCCTGGAGGAATGGACACTGGGAATACAAAAATACCTGCAGTCTGCTTACGAGGGGTACTGGAGCGGAGAGGGAGGAAAGGAATGATGAGGCGCAGGCTTCGGCTCTGGCGCAAAAGCAGATCGGGGTCAGAAAAAAACGGATGAGGGGCAACAACTCTCTTATGAGCACGACGCGCATACAAGAAGTGGAGGTGGGAAGGGAGCACGTGAAGACTGGGTAACTGGCTTCGTTTGTCAATGCCCGCACAAAGTATGAACACCATGCAAACACACATGCGGCAGACGAGAATGTGAAGGAGGATGAGGAGGAGGGGAGGAAGAATAGATCTCGAGCCAAAACTGCTGTTTGGCATTGCTCATCATGCGACTCCCCCTTCCCCTGAGTCACCACCACATCCCCTGTATCCACCTTCCCCTGAGCCACCACCCCCTTCCCGTGAAATCAGCACCACACCCCCTTCATACCACACCCCTTCCCTGCCTCCAGAACGCGGGCCGACCAAGACGGCGCAGGAGCTTCCTCCAGACACCTCGAGGCTCGAGGACCTCTACAGACTGGGCACCCCAAGTATCAAAACACACGATGACACGTCGTCACCTTCTAGCCACGTTCAGTTGGGGACTTGGGAGCCCCAAAGTCGGCTTTCGCCCTCACCCGTCTGAAAAATGGCTGCATAATAATGATCAACCGCCGCCAGACCCCAACCAACTAACCATTCTCGACGTAGCGTCGCCGGTGCTCGTGCGCAACACGTGTGCGGCCGCTGGCAGGATCGACGCACGGCTCGGGAGCTCGAGGTCCGAGGACCCGGGCCTGCCGAGCAGCCGCGCGTCCAGGTGCCTGCGGGCCCGCAGGCGGAGGCCGGGCTGGGCCACCTCGGGGGGGGGGGGCGGGCGGGCGTGGCGCTGGGCGGAGCAGCCCGCCCCTCGAGCCTCCCCCTCCTCCTCCTCCATCCCTCCTCCTCCTCCTCCTCTCCTCCTCATGCTCCTCCTCCCCTCCTCCTCCTCCCCCTCCTCCTCCTCCTCCTCCTCCTCCTCCTCCTCCTCCTCCTCCTCCCCCTCCTCCTCCTCCTCCTCCTCGGGCCGCGATCCTCGAACCTCAAGGCGCCTCCCTTCTTCCTCCCCCCCCTCGGACGTCGATCCTGCCTCCCTCCTCGAGCCTCCCTTCCGCGGCGAGCCTCGAAACTCATGCTGCCCCCTTATGCGACTCTCGGGCCTCGACCCTCGAACCTCCCCCTCCTCCGCGATCCCTCGACTTCTCTTGGGAGACCACTGCTGGAAGGTCTTCGTGTTGGGGCTGCCTCCACAGGGGGGGAATGATCCTAGATGTCGATGTTGGTGGAAATATTTCGGTCACCTTGGAAGCATCACCGAGATCGGGATCTTCTTCCATCGGATTGGTGTTGGTGTCAACCTCTAGGCCTGCGATCGTGGGAGACATTGACCTGGATGCGCCGAAGATAAGCCCAAGATTTCGCCCGCGTTTGCCCGATTAGACCGCGTAGTAGGCCGATCTCATCGGATATCTGCAGGATTAGACCGGTTTCCGACCACGGATGTGGCAGTGCCGATGCCGAATTCAGCCCTGAAGGAAATACATCCTGACAGGGGCGACCAGTGGGGTGGAGGGTGAAGGGAGGGGAATACAGATTTCCGAAGCACGGGCAACGCAGGTGTGCAGTGTTGGGGGTCCTCACAGGGCCGTACAACTTACTCTCTGCACGTTTCTGTGATGAAGCGTTGCTCTTGCAATGTTCGAAAGACCCGGCACAGTGGAGGGCAGAGCCAGACGCAATTTCACGCCCTGAAGGGCACGCGACCATTTGTAACAACACCGTCGAAAAGCGGGAAGGCAAGGAAGAACTCGCGCACGCACAAGAAGAATCTTGAAGAATGCCTGCACGGAGCACAGAAGCGCAGCTCAGGGGGGGGGAACATCGACCGGTAGTCGGCGATACATCGCCAATAGATCAGCAATAGGCACCCGATAAGGAATTTGCACGTTCCTGAGCGGGGTGGGCTATCTATCAGGCCCCTGTCAGCGAACAGTGGGCGATCCGGGATTGCCGTAACCCCTCTTGAGCCCTCCCCCCCGGGGTGCGTTCTGAACAGAACTCTGTGGCGAAGCCAGCCGTGGCGACGGGCCTTCCACGATGCACAACGTTGCCCCCCCCAAAAAAACGACGCAGGGATAGCCGTGTTGGCACTTCTTCCTCTTCTGAATACTAACGGCAGTGGACAAACCTACCTCTAGTAAAACTCCCCTTCGTGAAACCGACGGACCTGGACCCGCAAAAATGACGGCCGCGACGCCCTCTCGCGAACCGAAAACGGCCGATTCCTTGATCGACGTGTCAGGGTAGGGGGGAGGGGGGGACGAGGCGGAAGGGAGGCACAGGGACGAGGAGGCTCGAAGGATGGGGGGGGGGAGGATGGGGCAGGGACGGGGTCGAGGAGGGCGGGAGGCCAAGGCGGGGCGTGGCGCCGCCCCACGCCGCACCGAGCCGCCCCGCCGAGGCGGCCGCCGAGCTCCAGCCGCACAGCGCGCGGCGCACCCAGCGCGAGGCAGCCCGCTCGACCACGCCCTCCTCCAGGGGTGCCCGCCGACGGAGGCGGGGGGGGTCGACGACGGCAAGGACGACGACGTCCACGACGACGTCCACGACCGGCACCGACGACGACGACGGGAAAGACGCCGTCGACGGCGAGGCCGGCGACAACGGCAACGACGAAGACGACGGCAACGACGCCGTCGACGACGACGTCCACGACTACGACGACGACGACGACTGCAACAACAACGAGGACGATGCCGTCGACGACGACGACGGCGACAACGACGAAACCAGCACCGACGACGTTGTCGCTGCCGACTACGACGGCAACAACGACGACGACGTCGACGACGACAAACGCGACGACGGCAACCACGACGACGGCATTCACGCCGTCGACCACGACTGCGGCAAAGACGACGATGTCAACAACGAAGGCAACAACAACGACGACAACAACGACGAAATGGACGCCGCCAACAACAAGGACAACGAGAACGGCGACGTCGACGACGATGCCGTCGACGACGACGGCAACGACGACGACGACAGCAACGAAGCCGTCGAAGAGGACCAAAACGTCGTCGTCGACGAAGATTACGACGACGGCAACAAAAACGAAGACGCCAACTACTACGACGACGAAATCGACGACGGCGGCGACAGCAACGTCGACTACATCGACGGCGACGGCAACGACGACGGGGACGACACCAACAATGACGAAGACGCCAACGACGACGAAGACAGCAACGGCAACGACGACGACGCCGCCGCCGACAACGACGGCAACGATGACGGCGATGACGACGACGACGAAAACAGCAACGACAACCGCGACGGCAACGACGAAAACGACGCCGGCAACGGAGAAGACGACGACGGCAACGACGCCGTCGACGACGACGACGACGACGACGACGACGACGACGACGACGACGACGACGGCAAAGACCACGACGCCGACCACCATGACAACGCGTCCTCGCCGTGTGGTTTGGCTTCGATGCTTCGGCACTGAAGCGCTAGAGGTTGTCTTGGCAAAGAATTTCCTGCTCCCAGCTGGGAACACCGCATGAATTCGACAGCATGTCTACACGAACAACACGTACCTGCAGGTTTTCACAAAGTATGCCTGCCGGACTCGGGCCATTTCTAGATGGCAGCGGCAATGACCGCACGGACAGCAGCCGGCCCTGGGCTGGACTCTACCTATCTTCTTCCTGGCCCGACGGATGTCCAGGGCGGCGTGGCTTTCTCCAAGGACCGTCCTGGCTCCGCCGGCGGGGCGCACACACCGCCTTTCACGAGGTGCCCTGGGAAGGCCGGCCTGCGTCCGCGGGATTCACCTTCCCCGGCCGGCCGGCTTGGGCAAGACTTGAGACAAGGCGTGATTTTCCTCAATTTCGCGTTCTTCATCTGGGGCGCCATCCGGCGCTCCTCTCGGACATTGACCGTTCGGCGTCCGTTGGTTGGAGTATTCTGCCCGGCTGAACGGGGCATGGCTTCCGGGGAGGCGTGTTCTTCCAATTCTACGTCCTCTTCTCTTCGCTCCTCGACGGCGTCTGCGTGCAGTCGGCGTTACTCTCGGACAATGGCCGTTCGGCGCCGGTCGAACGGGACAGGACTTCGTGGCGTGGTGTTCTACATTACGCCCTTGTCTCCGCGATCCTCGTCGCCTTCTGCGTGCAGTTGGCGTTGCTCAAAGAAATTTCGGCGACTTTCCAGTCGCTCGCACTTGCACGCTCAACCTCCGGCCACCTGTGCCGGTAGAGTCGGACAAGGCGGAGTTCTATCGAGCTCATCAGCCCTTTTTGTTTTTTGTTGATTGGGGTGTAAGACCGTGCTTCGCACCGACATCTTGCCTCATCTACACACCTATCAAGACCACGACGCCGTCGACAATGACAACGCAGGCAAGGACAACGGCGGAAAAAAACGACGACGAAAATGGCAACGACGACGACAGAACCGCCGCAGACGACGACGACGGCAACGACGAACACGACGACATCGCCAACGATGCTGGCGGCAACGACGACGACGACGGCAACAACGCTGAAAACGACGACGGAAACGACGCCGTCGACGACGTCGACGACGGCGTGGGGACGACGGCAACAACGACGACGACGGCAACGACGACGACGACGACATTCGCGACGACAACAACGACGACGACGGCAACCACGCTGCCAACGACGAAGACAGAAATGAAGACGACGTCAACAACGACGGCAACAACGACAATGACGATAACAACACCGACAACAACACCG